ATTGCAAGGTTCAACTCATTTGAAGGCATTATTCTTAAATTTTTGATGAGACCAACAAATATTATTTTGATTATAATTATTTCTCGAATTTGATGAATTTATTGATCTTGATATATATCTACATCTAGATCTAAATGTTATTTGTAATTCATTAGTACCAGCTCTAATTTTGTTTAAAGTTTGATACATTCCGGTTGTTAAGTCAGTTAAATTTTTAAACATTGTTCTAAAGTATTATTATAAAACATGTAAGCCAATAAAGATACTTGAGGTTTATTAATTAAATCAAAATTTTATCAGACAAAATAATAATTTCATCCTTATTTTGATTACTAGAAGTGCATAGGGATTTAATTTTTTTGGGGTAGTCTACGAATCCATAATTTAAAAAGTAATTCGTGACTAACAATTGAATCTGAACCAGTTAACGATTTCATATGTATATCTAAAAAGCTCTGAAGGTGAACGATCACCAAGTTCAGTATTTGAAAATAATTGTTCCAATCTCTTTTCTTTACTTAGAAAAAATCTCTCACTCTCTCTTAATTGTTTCGAATTTATTAGAAAAATGGTGGTGGATTAATAACATCGACAATTTCGAAAATAGTTTCTCGTTTAAGAAAAATTAAAATGAATGATGTTAATTACAAATTGTCCTCCAACAAGCAAAAACCATACGTAAAGACATTCATTCTAAAAAGGACTCAATTTAATTCATTTGGAATTCAGTCGAAAATTATCTTCAAGATGTGTTCAATTTTGTGCTGTATTTAAATCTGTATTAGAATTGGTGATTCCTTTTTTTTTTGTTTCTGTTGTTGTAAAATTACATGTGCGTATTTGTGAAATATGCATGTTTGGAGAAGGAGTTTACGTATGTTTAAAGAAATTTATGTAATTAAGTATAAAATTTAGTAGTAATAATGATAATAACTATCGACTAATTAATATTTTAAATTAAAATGTATGTTAAGAGGCACAATAGAAAATTGCTAATTTCACTAAATTCAAAATGGTTGCTTATCTTAATTGTTGAGTTCGTAGATATTGTTCTTGATTTGGAAACATATGTTCTTTAATGCAGCAAATCGATTGTTGTTTGATTCTTCTTTTGTAATTGTTGATTGTTGTTATTAAAAACCTGATACTGATCTTTTAATTAGATAATACTATTGATTGTTGCAGTTCTTGATAGAAGTCAACTTCCTCAATTAAATTAAATTGATTGCATCCAAACGAAATTGATAAACTTCAACAGAAGAAATCGCAAAAATTGGTTTAATTGATTTGATTTTGATCGATTTTCAAAATTTTATATTTTTAAAATTTCATTTAATTTGATTAACCACTATATTTGTTAATTGTTGATTGTATATAGATGAATATATCTATATATTTATATTAATTAAAGCTTTATATATTTATTTTTATAAAACTTTAATATTTTATTTATTTTAATCAAATTTATCTAAAAAATTTCTTGTTTGATTGAAAGTGAAAATTATAGTTATTTAGCAAATGAAAATATTTGAAACTTAAAATTCAGTAACATAAAATCTGAAAAATTTAAAATAGCTAATTATAAATATTAAAGTAGATCCAATATCAATATAAATGTAGAATTAACAGAAATATTTGAAGTACAAATTCTTTAAACTCAAAAGTTCCATTATGACGGTAACTGATAATGGAAATATTGGTAAGCCTACACGTCGCCTTTTTACTTTCGATAAATTTAAAACATTTAATTTTTTAATTGATCGCAATTGTTTCGATTCATATTTGAAATATTTTAAAAGAAATTCCGATCTGAAACTTTCGGCAGCAAACGTGACGGATATAGTAAAATTTGGAATAAAATTTTTAAAACTAGATTGAGAGTTTAAGAAAAAACTTCGAATTACCATTTATAGTTGCTGAAAAAATTTAATTTTTAGTAGATGTTGGATAAAATAACTAAAATTAAAATTTCAGGATCTACCAGTTTTTGCGACATTTTTTTCAATAGCAATGAAGATAACTAGCACTGCGTCGTAATGGTCCAAGAATTTACTTGCTAAGAGGCATTTCTGTCGTAAGAGGCGAAAAAATCTAAAAGTTCTCGCTATAGTCGAGTTTTTATACCGGAATGACCTGTATTTTTATACGGCCCCCGCTCACGGAATTCCCCAAAAGCTACGTTAGAAAATATTTCCGTGGCTACAACAACAGAAAATCAGAAATTTTATCTAAAAGACTCAAAAATTACAATTTAAATTCTAAGCCTGCCAATAATATCGGCAGCCGAAAAATAAAAGCTACCCATAAAAACCCATCGGCCGCTCGTAGGGGTTCGCTTCAGCGATATAGAAGTCAATTAAAACACTTTAAACATTTTTCCAGGATAGTTTTCACTGTTTACAGTGATCATCAAATATGACAAGTTTATATTTCTGAAGTAGATAGATGTCTACCTCAAATATGTATTAGTATAGAATGTATTGCACAATTCACTAATACAATAGTAACATATTGTATCTCACATGTGCGGAAAAGATAATAAAATTGTTGATTTAGTTTTTCGGATCCCAGAAAATAATTAAATTTTAACAAAATATATAAATGTCCAATATTCAGAACAACAAATAGACAAAGTCCTCAAAAGTATTATCCAAAGAAAAAAGTAATGTTAAAGAAATATATATATTCTAAACCTTAATATTTGGTGTGATGTTATACAAACCCCTCATTCTTTATCATATACACTTGTGCAACTCAACGTTTGATTCACTCTAAATATTTTACCCTAATATGCGTGAAGAAATTATTTACTGGATATATAAAAAATCGAAAGTTACTAAATTTACAAAAACTCCAGTTCAAAAGATAAATGTTCCTTATGGACGATTGAAACATATTTATATGAAACTACTTTTCACAAAAAAAAAAAAAAAAAAAAAAAAAAACGATGCATTTGAACTATCATTGGCAGAAAAACAGGATGGCCGGAAGCATTCCCACTACACAAATGCAATTATTTAAAAATTAAGAAAACAATGCTCGCAGGATTGGAGGAATGAAGCCTTCAAATCCAACAGGCTTAGGCTAAAAAGACTGGGACCAGTGGAAGAAGACTACTTCACAAAGGCTCTAAATTTTTATTTGACTACCTTTTTAATACCCAGCCAACGAGGGAAAATTTTTTCACCCGATATCCTCCCGTCCTTCAAACACCATCTGAGCCCAGCAACACATCAGTATGGTTTCATGGTTTCCGTAAACTACACATCAACATCGCACTTAACACCATAAACACGCATATTATCCATGGCAATATCAAAAACCTACCTTGTGGATGAAATGCCCTGGCAGCACTGGATCTGACAAAAACGTTTACGCAGTCAACTATTCAGACTATGCAAAAATACTTGCTGCATGGCCGTTGGAGCTATTTTCAGCCGAGTTCCTCCTCTAATTTGTGTTATATGTCTTTACGGAGGAATGTACAGTTAATACTAAGCCGTATCCAAACGGCTAAAGGGTTTTTATGAGAAGCGTTTATTTCATATCATAACACGCTTAAAGAGGTTGACATTCCCCGACGAGAAGTGACCGCAACTAGAAAATTCTATTTTGGAATGAATCAAACCTGAGACCCGCCGCATAGCAGTACGCAGTGCTAACTATAATACATTCCAAAAGATGAATAAATTAGTAAAGTTATTCTCGCTCATTTGTGTAAATAAATAGTTATACAATAATTACAACATTTTGAGGCTTCTTGCAAAACTACTGAAAGAAATAAAAATATTTTATAGTTGAAATCATAGCATAGCCACTATAATTTTCATGGACAGAATTAGATCAACTATTATTGAAAGAACACCCAAACAACCAAATGTTTAATGAGTGAATTTCAATATCTTAACAAATAAAAATACATAACATAAACAAGTTCTAAATATCATCAATAAATAAATGCTTAATATTTAGCATAAAATATTACATTCATGAGAGGAAAAATTTAAATTTAACCATGATACAAAAATTTTAGATGGTAGTTTCACTTCAAAGTTTTTAACACTAAACGTCTTTTCTCAGAATTATTTGATCTTGCACTTTTAAGATATTCAACTTGGATATTTTTCAATTATTCTTGAGGTTATTTTCAAAACAGAAGCTATAATATTGAACACGCATAATGGCAGAAGTAAGATACTAAATTGATAGCTGCATTTCAACATAAATTATCTAAAAAGAGTTGAAATGTTTTCAAAACTTCAATTATTACATCTATATATATTAGCCGTTAGATTTTAAAGAATGTTAATTTGTTTATGCGACCATGCTATATATTAATTTTATTAAGTAAACTACGAGGCCTTGTTGTTTGTATGAATTGAATATTTGTTATACAACAAAGAAAAGGATCGAACTAACGTATCCTGACTTAACAGGCGAGTGTTCTACCACTGCGCCAACATCAGCCATATAATCTGTTTTATTCAATTCATTATTAACCAACAACTATTAAGTGCGCTAATTTAGCCGCTATTTTCTTAACAGCTTGGTTAGTGTGTTGCGTTGGAATCCTCTATACTTTCAGTCGTTAATTGACTGATTGTATAGGCAGGATTAGGTATCAGGTTGAACCTTTATATTTATAAGTTGTTTATGCGGCCATGCTATATATTACTTTTATTAAGTAAACTACGAATGTTGTTTTATAAAAAAATTTCAGCATGCTGAAAAAAAACAGGTGGAACCCAATTAACCTACTTTTCCCGATGAAATCAATTAAAATTTTGGTGGGTCAATATTTTTCCCTCCTGACACTTTCATAATATTTAAGTTGTAATACAATGATCATGACGGGTAGCGAGATTTAACTTTATAGTGAAAAGGAAGCACGAAAACGACGAAACAAGTTTAATATGAGACAGCTGCTCAGTCGACTGCGAGGAGAGAAAGAAACTACCTTCAAATTATAGTATCATAAGTTTTACTATTGTATTACAAACCTGTATTTGTGGGATAGGCTAATAATGCCATACATTGACAAATTTCTCTGAGTTGTGTTTTTTCAAAACCTTGAAAATATTTTCTTGCGTATTTCACTGCCTCCATTCGATTATCAATCCGAACTAATTCAACAAACTCTTGCACGCGTAAGCTGAATTCCATTGTAGAGTTAATTTTTCTGAGCTTTGATTTATTGTCCATGCACCATAAAACACATTTAAGGGTCTTATGATTTAAAAGATCTTCTTCAACTTCTCTTGATATGTGAAAGATATCTGCAAATGAACACAAATAAATTACTGATATTAACTATATGTATTTATTTAATCAACTTAGTAATCACATGGTGAAGAGCTGGAATTGCACAAAACTGGAGCTTAAATTGCGATTCTGTAGTGATTTAGAAATTTGTGATCAATGTCTTTAAATTTAAATATCAATAATCAGTTTAAAGTTAAACTCCATAGAAGATTAAAACTTTTTGACCGTTTAATATCAAAATTCTTATTCATGCAGTAAATTATTTGTTGTATGTGCTTAATTAAAGCCGAACAATACGTTTTTAAATATTAATAAAGCAGGATCAGCTTGCTAGGCAGGAAAACACTGTTGCACAAAATTAGGTAGCAATAAAGATTATAAATTTAAAATGAGATCACATATAAATTTCCGAGAGTTTTCTGGACGTTTGGAACGCGGCGTGTTTCTTCAAAGTTATTTATTACAAAGCAGTATTGCATACCAACTGTTAACCCGATTTCCCGACTATATAATTTTCATTTCGTCAATATTCATTTGCTTTCGCTTTTTGTCCATTGTAAAAAAAGTATATTTTGTATGACGTGGCTATTTTTTTAACCGTAATAACAATGATTTAAAAATGAACACAATATAAGCGTTGCACACGCCAGGATGTGCTTGGCTACTTTAAAGCCAAGTATCTTCATCACAAGTCGGAAAACTCAGTCTCCACGGCGACATATTACCAAATTGGTGCAGGCTAGTGACTTCGACCAAACCTGAAATATGATTGTCTGTAGTACTAGATTACATCACAATTAAATTCATTAAGCTACCTGCTGTCTCCAGATCGAAAAACTTATAAAGATATCCATCGATATCGACATGTTTTCAGTTTTTTAGAGATTTGTACCTTCCGAGGTCCTAACATCGACTTGGTTCACTTTCTTGTTACAGCGAAAATACGCACCCACCACTGTGTATCAAAGAACGCTCGTCGAGAAGCAAGGTTGGGCGTCGATAAGCTGCTAAAAACTGTTCTACTCGACTTGCTTTCATACTTTCTGAGAGCGCTCGTCAGCTACTCCACTGTAGAATGGCATCTAACTCCCTATGTACCACTGCTTTGGTAAAAATTGGCTTTGGCAGTGCTAGAAATAGAGCTCGTACGATGAGGAATGCCGAATTGCAGTGGAGAGATAACTGCCTAGGAGAGCTGAAGATGGGAAACAAGAGGTATTTACAGTCAAAAAAAAGAATGATGCTGAAATGCACGGGTATGACGGCCTGAGAAGCTGGCCGACAAAGATAGCACTTGGCGATTCTACAAAAAAACTTACGGAAAGTTTCGAGAGCGGAGCAAACTCTTTTAGGACTCAGAAAAGTGATTTACTGAGTAATGTCAGAGAACACTTCTGAAACCTGCTGGATGGCCGTAAAATGAGGAACCCGTCTATGACGAGGTTCGAAAAATAATTGCATGTTCAAGAACAACAGGACTATCAAACATGACGATCCAAAGCTAACAAGGTAGTTGCATCAGCGTCTTTGCAGAATATGGTCGGGTCAAAGCTTGGCCGCCGATTGTAATTAAAGTATGCTCTGTCCACTCCAAAAAAAAATTAGAACCCGCGATATGCGCCAATTATCGTAAGCGTTTTAAGTATCGTATGTATGGTACTATCGAGCGTATTATACGAAAGATTAAAGCCCACTGCCAACAAACTGATTGGACCTTATCAGTGTGGCTTTAGACCTGGTAAATCTACCATTGACCAGATATTCACCGTGAGTCAAATCTTGTAAAATACCCGTAAAAAAATTCCATACATATCCTTTTCATCCAGTTAAAGCTGCCTGCAATAGCACAGTAAGTAGTTTAGTCTTTGCCGCTTTCTCTGTATTGTGTATTCCCGCAAAACTTATACGGCTGTGTAAACGCTGGACGCAGAGGCACTATCTATCGTGTGATTTCTTCAATATGATGCTGAGGAAAATAATTAAAGCTGCAGAGCTAAATAGTAAGCTGGTGTATGCCGATTAAGTTGATATCACTATATCATCCGCGCTAAGAGTTCTGTTTTCTCCAGACTGAGTAAGAGAGTGAAGCGTACGGGTTTGGTAGTGCACGAGTGCATTCGCAACTCGGCTACCACGTCACTGTTGACAGTCATAACTTCGAGTAGACAAAGACAGTATTGAAATCCAACGTAGAATCATTTTTGCCAATAGTTGCTATTGCAAGCAAAGGAAGAGGAAGACCTCTACTACGTTGGATGGATCGAGTGGAGAGGGACCTGGTTTCGCCTGATATTTCCAACTACCGCCAAACAGAGAGAAGGCGAAAAGAATGACGCCGAGTGTTGATTCGGCTGTAATTGCGTAAGCAGTGCCTACATCGATGAGGAAGACTCTTTAAACTAAGTGAAAAGCAAATATTTATTGATTTTGAATTAATAATTTTTTTTCAAAAATTACTTCACCACAATGGGAGCACTCAGAATTTTTCTTCCATGTGTATATTCTGGGTATCATTACGTTTTTTAGTTTCAGTGCTGGACATGTTTCTGTATTTAAAGTGAAAGTAACGTGCAAAATGCTTAAATTAGACACGCTTGCTCCGACATAAAATAATGCAGAAAATGAGATATTTTTGGTAGCGGTATTTATTCAAGCTAATTGGCCGATATAATGACAGCCGCATTGCAGCTTATTCGAGGTTGTCTATCATGATGATCTGCAATTTTTTTCCACTTTCATAAAATATAAGAGTAATGAAGATTAAAGACAAGAACTCTAAAGCAATATTTGATAGTTTTACATGCAACGTTTTTATAAGAGCTCAATTCTGGTGAGTCCTCAAGAAATTATTCATTGTCAAGTAGTCTAACGCTTCATGAAGGTGACTTTTACTATTTCTTCTTCTGAATGCGTCTGTCTCAAAGGTAGTTCGATTTCTTAGTGGCTTAAAATTCTCTTCGGTCATCAAGAATGAATTTATTTGAGAACAATTTTAAGCTTTCCTAAGTTTTTCTCAAATGCCTTAACTTTTAGTTCAGATAAATGGAATTCTACAAAAGAACATTATTTCTTAAAAGGAAAAAAAATGCAGCCCAGGTTGCTAAAGAGTTTCATAATTTTTATGGTGATAAGGCCTTTAAAGAAACACAGTGTCGAAGTTGGTTTCTCAAATTCCATTCGAGTGATTTTTACCTCAAAGATTATATACTTTATCAACTGTTCATAATTATATACGGCAAATAAAATTTGGCATCCATGTTCTCCTTTATAAAATATATCGGACCTTTACCATAGTAAGAGAAGAACCCCCCACACATTGATTCTGCACCGCCAGGTTTAACAGACCGGACAAGGTATCTGGGGTGAAATGAAGCATGACCTTCGCAAAGGCTTTCGTATTGGACTCCTGACAAAAAGCTTGGTATCAACTTTTTTCTAATTGTGGACGAGTCCACGGCAAGATTTAGCTCATATAAAATAGCTTTTCTCTAACCGCAGCCACAACTTTTCTCAATTCTGTCAGAGGAAGAGCTTCCTTGCGTCAACCTTTCTGCTTTAGTAATCAGTATGACTGAACACCCAAGCAAATCTACAATAAACTTATAGGTTTTCCTTTCCGACAATAATTTTTTGATGAGTTTTCGTTTTTCAACAGTGCAGTGCATGGCACGACCCATTTCTGAATAGAAATATATTCTAATATTCTAAAAACGATGTATTTACGGAAATAATTCTTCCAGCATTAAAAATTAATTTAAATTTTCAAGTATGACCTAAATTCGTTCACACAACACGGCTATTTTACTGGCACTGCTATTTTAAATCACAGTTAATAGTACCAACTAGCACAAAAAGTAAGGGGATTTCATGAATTTGGTAAATACATCAAAAATTAATTTAAATACAGGTTAGTGGTATTCGGGCCTACATTCATTATTATTTAAATGTAAGAAAATGATTACTTAAATTTCCATTATCCACTGCTATTATTACGTACACAGTTGCACTTCTTCCTAATTGCTGTTATTATGTGAACTTCTCTTCTTAAATCATCGTTTGCAAACTTCACTTTTATTCGGTATAATAAAATCGCAAATATATTTTGTTAATGCGCTGGCGACATACGTGCCACTTTCACTTAGATAGCCGATCGACTTAGATAGTTTTTTTTGCCTGCCAACAAGTACCTCGAAAAGGTTTGTAAAAAAAAATCCGAGAAGTGGACTAGAAACCGACAAATAGAATGTGTTCGGATTTCGACAAAGGGCATTCAATATAAAATATAATGATGTTGTTGTTGTTGTAGCGGTTCGCTTAGGCACAGGTTTGTTCAGTCTAAGTCGCCGAGCTCATCTAGTGGTAGGTCCAGGAAACGAGCTGTTTCGACGGGGTTGGACCAAAGGGAGAGGGGGGTTAGATGAGTGGGTTTTAGGGGGCATGTGAAGAGGTGGCTAGTGTCGTGCGGGGACTTTCCACATGCCGGGCATACGTTAGGTATGCTGGGGTCTGGTCTGGATAGGTAGGAGTTTAACCTGCTACAATATCCAGACCTGAGTTGTGTCAGGGTCATGCGGGTCTCTCGAGGCAGCTCGAGCTCGTTGTCTGCTATGGGTGGTGGTATTTCTCCGAGTACGCCATTCACTGGAAGGGAGTCCATGATGGTGTTGGCTGACTCCTGGTGAATGGCGTTCAGTGCTTGTCGATACGCCGTCCTGTCCAGCGGTTGTTGTGTGTGTTGCTGGATTGTGTCCTTAAAGTCTAGTACTCCCTTTCTGATGTGCCTAGGTGGAGGTTCAGCCTCTATTAGGTGCCTACTGGGGTGCTCTCTGCGGTAGCATCCCAATAGGAACTGCTTGCACAGCAAAGCATTATGCTGCTTAACTCGTAGCATAGATGCTTCCCTGTGCAAGTGATGCTCCGGTGACATCAGGAGGTTTCCTGTCGCAGTCCTGCGGGCGGTGTTTTGGCAAGCCTGTAGCTTCTTCATCTGCGTCTCGTTCGTCCCCGGCGTCCAGATCGGTGCAGCATAGTTTACGACCGGCCGGCCAATTGCTTTGTAAGTAGCCAGCAAATTTTCTTTATCTTTACCCCAGGTGCTGCCGGCTAGCGCTTTGAGTATTTTATTGCGACTCTGGAGTTTTGCGGCAATTGCGGTCGTATGCGGAGTGAAGGAGTGCAGGCTGTCTAGAGTTACTCCCAATATTTTTGGGTTATTCATCGTCGGAATTTTTGTGTCATCGACCTTTACATCCAGTTCAAGCCTGTATTCCTTCGTCCAGCTAGTGAAAAGGGTAGCCGAGGATTTTGGCGGTTGGATTCGTAATTGTCTTGCAGTGAAGAAGTGGGAGTGATCAGCGAGGTAACCGTTTACTTTCGAGCAGAGGTCATCAATATCCTGGCCGGACGCCATTATCGTACAGTCATCGGCATACGAGGCTAGGGAAACTCCTTCTGGTGGTGGAGGGAGTTTCGATATGTAAAAGTTAAACAGTAGCGGGGAGAGGACACCACCCTGCGGAACCCCCTGTTTAATTTTTCTGGGCTTAGATGTTATACCTCGGAATATTACCGATTACACGTCGGGTATCTTCAGGGTGGTCAGAGACAAATTGAGGACCCTCGTGAGAAATTCTGCTCCCGCTGGTCCAAGATGTTTCAGCATCAGCATGCTTATTCCGTCGGGCCCGATGGATTTGGAAGCTTTCGTTTTCCCGATGACCCCCTGAACCTCCTGCCTGGAGAAATCAAGCACCGCGCTGGTGTTTGGCAGTTTGCGCATACGGCGGGTCACACGTCGTTTCGCTTTGTCTACCGAGGGATGCAATGTAAAAAGTCGGCTAAAATAGCTCGCGCATCTCTTCGGGTCCGACGAGGCGCGATCACCGAATGAAATTTCTACCCGGTCATCGCGTCTCGTCGGGTTATACAGCGACTTGACTGTAGCCCAGAGCTTGGTTGTCCCAGAGGAGAGGTTGCAGGTCCTTAGGTGCTTCTCCCACTTTTTCCGCTTATGACTGTTAACAACTCTTCCAATCTCCGCGTTTAAATACCTTATTAGAGGATTCCCGGGATCGGAGCTTCGGATGGTGTCGCGCCCGGATGCTAGTAACGCCGCTCCGTCGGAAAATTTGGGCGGATTTCCGCGATTCGGCCTGCCGGGATGAAGCGGGCGGCAGCGGTCACGACGAACCTGCGGAATGAGCGTTCACCAGCGGTGACGTCAGTTGGAGTGGGAAGACCACTGTAGGCGTTCTCAGTAAATTCCGTAAATCCGGGCCAGTTAGCGGAAACAAAGTCGGGAGGCCTGTCAATCGAGATTTGTATGGGCAAGTGGTCCGATGCTAGCGTCAGTATAGGTCGCCAGACTATACTGTTTATCAGACCAGCACTCGCAATCGTTATGTCTGGCGAGCTTTGGCAATTACCCATAACTCTGGTGGGGGTGTTGTCGTTCATTGTGCGGAATGTCGAATCGTCTATCGGTTCCGCCAGCTCCATTCCTCTACGGTCATTTAACAGGCGTTAAAGTGGCCCAAACCAAACGGTTTTCCCTCTGAGTAGCGCTCCTATATCAGGGGTGTATCCCACTGGGCAACTTGTAACTGGAGGAATGTATATATTGAATATTTCGAGCTCGACATCGCCTGACCGGATAGCAATGGCCTGACATTCTAAGGTAGTATCCCTGCGGTCGATGTCGCTGTCGATAAGACGATACTGCACGGTGTTGTGCAGGATGAACGCTAGGCCCCATTATGGTCTCACTCGCGATCCTTGCGGATTATGTTGTATCCGGCATGGCTCAAAAGATCTGATTGAGCGGTCAATTTCGTTCGCAGCGATAGACAGGTGCTCCCGGCTCATATAGTCGACTATCTCGTCGATCTTCCCCTGGAGTCCGTTGCATTTGAATTGTAAGAGTCGGGTCTGTCTCGGGGGAACGTTCGTGATTCGTGGGGTGGGAGAGTGATGCGTGGATGGAGAGTGTTGCTGATATTTTGCCCACTGATATTGATTTCGCACATTTGTGTTGGTTGGCGGTAAGTTTGTCTAAATAGGCGGGGCAGACTCCTACAGCACGGGGCAACATACGTATCGCTTCACTCACGGGTGGTGCGCAGGCCAGAGCACGTCCGAAAATGACATCACCGTATGGTTTATTTTGAAAGTTCAATGAGATAGCTTATTGGAAAAACTGAAATCAATAAAAATTATGAATCACGTACCCAAATTGGTTAAATTACGAATATCGGACTTCTTAGCTAGGCATTCAGCAGTTTCATAATATCCTCTTCGCAGCAGATGTTCTATTACAATGCGATCCATCCGAACCTAAAACAATATTTATAAATTTAGCAATATAATAAATTAGAAAGCGAAAATATTTTGGAAAGATTACATTTGGGTGTAAAAGGCTGCCAAGTACTAAAGGATAGTAAATATGGATTCTTTAATATTATATGAGGGAGAATTTTTTCAGATCATAATTGATTCCAATTAATCTTGATATAGCTTTTTCCGCTGAAAATTATATATCCTTTGATTTAATTAACAATACTATTAGTTTTTAGAAAGCAGTTCGCACCTGGGTCGAATTTGCCTTTTCATCCTTACTGCGCATCCAGTTATCGTTTGTGTTCCTGATTGGCGTACTAATATCATCTGGTGTCCTGAAGTTCAAAGTTCAGTTTTACTATATATGATTTGACATTACGATCTTCTGCTAGTTTCAGCGAAATTTTTTTTTCTCTCTGCTGATTTGCTGAAGAGAAATATGCATGCCATTTCCTCCACAAACGAGACTTTTTCGTTATCAGTTTTTCTATTTTAATATTTGTTATGGGTTTTAGAGTCGTAAATATAGTAATAATAAAGTTGCGAAGGCTGCCAACCTATCAAGTGATGCCTAAGGAATATATTTAGACCAGAACTAGGTGCAATTTTAACATCAAATTTTCCAAATGGAATAGGGCGTACTATTGCTGGGACCGGTGCCCACTTATGCAACAAAAAGGATCACATTTCAGATTTCGCCGCAAAACTCTCCAGGTGAAGCGATTGCCTCGAGCATGATTAAGGACCGCAACTGGTGAGGGCACAAGCAAACGTAAGTTTATAATAGCGAAAACTACTGACGAATATCGAAGTAAAGTGTATACAATATATCAGTTTTAGAAAAAAAATGGTCACAAAAATTGAAGAAATGCATCTGGACAGCGTACCCAGGTTGTGAGCGTAAGCATAGAATACCGATATGAAACAGAACAGCAACAAGTAACTTTCAGTCAGAAGAGACCGCTATGCGCAGGTTTAAGGCGGAGTATTTTTATTCAAAAATCTTCCGATAACGGAACAAACAAACCTTCAGAATGTAAATTTGCAGAAAATAAACCTTTAGAAAAGGACACTCTATCAAAAAACCACCCAGACTCGGAGCAATACAAAACGGCAGACCATTCAACATCGTTCAACCTGCTAAAAATCTTCCGTTACATTTGATGAACTAACTATACTAGAAGCACAGATAGATAAAAGATTAAGTGTACTCAAGCTGAACCGGGAGTTGAACGGGCTGAAAAAATTTAGAGCTCCTTTAAATTTATTCGCTATTAAACTCAGCGATATTCAATGGGGACAATGGGGACAATGGCACCGATACCGCAAAATGGGTAGGTGCGCTAAAATACACTTTAAACTAAGGTGCTAATTGCACGCCATCTCTTAACCAGTAGTATCCGACTGATATTTGGTGAAAAAAAATGCGGAGTTAATAAATTCTTGTGTCTTTATTATACAAGGTTGAAAGGAACTAAAGAAGGCTCGGGTTCTTATCCCCGTGCGACCAACATCCAAATGTTATAGAAAATTAATTTAAATGAAAAATTATTTATTTGGTTGTCAGACGCAATTTCTAGTCTTATTCGTATAATCAGCCCAAAAATTTTGACAGCGCATGCCATAGCCATATACTCCGCTTCCATACTTAACCCCCCGCGTCCAGGCGGCATCGAAGATTATCTTTCCTGCCACGAAAGAGTCCTTTTTATTACCTGAAGATGCCTTTAACCACTTTACTATGGTATTATTGAAAACGCTTACAAAAAGTACAGCAAATGTCATGTCTGGTCTAGTCCCTTGCGTCAAATATAAGAGACTACCGACAGCTTCTTGGTTGTGTACAAACTGTCAGACAACTTTCAGTTTGGATCACTAGGTGTTGATGCAGCCTTCACTTTACGCACGCCGAATTTTTCCAAGATTTTACGAGTATATTTGGACGGATTTAGTCATATACCAGTAAACTATTTAATGCCAATATCTACCATCGAAAAATGCTTAAATAAGTCTGTTTTAAATAATCACGTTCTTGCACACTTTTCCAAATTATTAGGACATCGTCCACATAAATGGCGACGACAAGTTAGGAATTGTGACTGTAGAAAAAGCACACACTTCAACAGTCCGAAAGTCTTTAAGGTTTTCTTCAGTGTTAAGTTGAATTGGCAACAGCTTTGAGTCAGCAAATTCGCTTGCCGCAACCATCCGGAAGTTTCGTGTTAGTTTTTTCTAACAAATCACTTTGTATGAACGCTGTTACTGCATCCGTTTGATCAATTTTTAAATTAAGTTTAACTAATGACGTAAACAAATATCTGATAGATGTACAACGCAACGCAGGAGAATACATACTTAGTTATCATCTACACGATCACGTTCGAAACTAAACGTGCTTTATATCTTACTACGTTTCCACGATTGTCACGTTTTGAACTGAAAACCAACATTGACATGATTACACTGCGACCAGCTGCCGAATTAGTCAGTACTGTGGGAATCTAGCTCACACTTCATAGTTGATTTCCATTGTTTGCTATCTGGGCTGGATAAATAATCGATTTTTAATATTAATTTATTGCCAATGTCCCTATCTACATTAGTGTTAGTTTTATTAAATACTTAATTTCCTGAATTTCTTGAATTTGCGGATATGCCTGTATCGATTGGATTAGCTTCGAAATCCCTCATTGGCCCACAGTCACATTGCACAGTAGCTATTGGTTTGCTGACGATTCCACAAAAACGACATTTCTGCTATGTGTACTTTTGATGTCTCACTATATAGACAATCGTCTTGTCGAATTAGGGTCCCATTTTAGCTGAATTGCTTGTTGACGTACTCTCTACTATTACCTGTACAAATAATTTTAATTTTGTTGCCGGTTTGAGCTTCAACCATATAAGGTACTATCGCGTGTGGGTTGAAAGACTAAGACCTACCGGCAACAAACTGAGTGTGGATTTAGACTTTTCCATCAATTTTATAGCTTTTTATTTTTAAAGGCTACCCCCGCAAAACTTTAAACGTATGTGTAAGCTGACTCTGAACAGTACCAGAAGAGCAGTCAGAATTAGGAAGGACTCTCGGAGGCGATCGACCGGGCCGGTAGTTCTTCTTTATCCAGGCTTGTTAAAAAAGTGAAGCGAATGGGTCTGGTAGTAAACGAGGAACAAGCAAACAGTCATTATATTCTCGACTTGACTCCTACGTCGATGTAATAACTTCGAGATCGCAGATATATTCGTCTTTCTTGGGACCATCATGAACCCTAGAGAAGGTGCGCTATGAGCATTTTACTCACACAATTTTTTAGTCGTAAAAATTTCTAAATTTTAGGTTATTGCATCACTTGTTACGCTCAGTACCTTCGCTGAAAATCATAGAAATAAATAAACACTTTTAAAGTTGAAAGTTCAATAATGATATTTAGTTCAAATTTTAACTTGCAACACTTAACATTCAAGGGTTAACATCAGAAATATCAGCTTTTAAATCCAACCTAGAATACATTTTTGCAGCAGGTGCTAGTTCGGATTAAGTAGGCAATTTAAATGTAAAGTCCTCTCTCGGCGAAAAAAAATAGTTCTGTAAGTCTAGTTGTTGTTGTAACAACGTGGAAGATGTTGTTGTAGCGGCTTCGTCCACCCCGGTTAGAGACCGGTTAAATAATCTAAGTCACCGATGTCATCTAACGGGAGCTGGTCTTTACATGCAGGGCATACGTTGGGTATATTGACGTCGAGTCTGGATCAGTATGAGTTTAACCTGCTACAATATGGTTAGATGAGTTCGAGCTCGTTGTCTACGAGGGGTGGTGATTTTTCTCCGAGCACGTCATTCACTGGAAGAGAGTCTTTGAAGATGTTGACTGACGAATGGCGTTCAGTGCTTGTCTGTACGCCGTCCTGTCCAGCGGTTGTTGCACGTGTTGCTGGATGGTGGAGGTTTAGCTTCTAAGAGATTAATTGTAGTATAGATGCCTTGCTGTGCAAGTGATTCACCGGCGACATCAGAAGTTTTCCAGTCACGATCCGGAGGGCAGTGTTCTGATAAAGCTGTAACTTATTCAGGTACGTCTCGTTCGTCCCTGGCGCCCGAATCGGTGCAGCATAGTTAACGATGGACCGGCCACTTTCGAGCAAAGGTCGTCAAGATCCTGGCCAGACGCACATATTGTGCTAACGAGGTTTTTGAAACTCTTTCCGGTGAAGTAGATAGCTTCGATAATCAAAAATTAAACTGTTGTGGGGAGAGGATAGCACCCTGCGTAATCCCTTATTTATTTTTTCTTAATTTCGATGTTTCACCTCAAATTACTACAGATGATTGTCGACCACTCAGGTAGCCCATGATTCACCCCTGCAACCCTAGCGGTAATGAGGATTCCTCAATGTCCGTTAGTAGCACTGAATGGTTTACGGTGCCAAAAGCTTTAAACAGATGCAGTGCTACCAGGACAGTTCGCGCGCAGGGTCGATTTTGGTTAAGGCCATTGATTATCTGTGCGTTTATGACTTGTAGTGCTGTTGTGATAACGTGCACTTTACAGAAGCCAAGCTAATGTGGTGCTGCATCTTCATTCACTGAACTATGTCAATGCTACAATGTCATATATTGCCTGCGCAAAATTCCGACCACCAGCGCAGCCCCAATGAATCAAAGATATAGAATACCCGTTTTATAGTATGTTATGGTACCCGCTGGTGAAAACAGAGGAAGAGAAGACATCTAACCATGGCATTTCCAACTGGTTCCAAACAGCGAAAAGAGGATGTGAAGGGCGCATTATTGCTGGCCTATTTACAGTTATTATATTTATAGTTACTTATAAAGAGCGCGAAAGTTTTTGTTTTAATTCTACTGTTAACGAGTATTATTCATACTCATGAACAGACAACGTGAAGCCGTGCCAGATTTTTTTTAGTCGCCAACGATCGTTTCTAATTCGCAATGTATTTTTAATTAAGAGAAGAGGTCGAAACGTTAGTAATTTTTTTTTACCTTACAAAAAGACTTGGTTTTCAGCATTTACACAAAATTGTATGCCTAAATTCCTCTGGGTTTGATATCAAGTGCTGAAAACTAAAATCCAGTCGGGTCGGCTTCGCAATAATGTCCAACGCTTTGGTACAAATTTCCTCTTTGGGGTGGGTTAGAGGAGGTCATACAGATCACAAAAATATATATTTCGTTCGCTGAGGTAACTTATAGGTTTCGAGAAATTTGTTGTTAACGTTGATATTTTGACCTATTAAATATCACTCACAAAAATGCCTAATAACGTTTAAAACGATTTTATTTAATTAGTTTTATCAAACATTAAACAACAACATACAATGAAGTTTCACTTAAGAATACTGTGCATTTCGAAGCCGGTGTTGGTCCGGCCCAGTGTTTTTTTTTTAAATGCGGCAGAAGGCCGCAAACTTACAAAGGATTTTCACTTAAGGATACTGTGAAAGGCGGAGCCGGGGTTGGCCCGGCCCAGGGTTACAATCAAAAGCCCAGCCGAAGGCCGCCAACTTACAAAGGAGTTTCACTTAAGAGTACTGTGCAAGGCGAAGCCGGTGTTATTGCAGCCCAGGGTTACAATCCAAAGCCCGGCCGAAGGCCACCAACTTACAAAGGAGTTTCACTTAAGAGTACTGTGCAAGGCGAAGCCGGTGTTAGTCCGGCCCAGGGTTACAATCCAAAGCGCGGCCGAAAGCCGCCAACTTACATAGGAGTTTCACTTAAGAGCACTGTGCAAGGCGAAGCCGGTGTTGGTCCGGCCCAGGGTTACAATCCAAAGCGCGGCTGTACGACCCGAAAAAAGTTTACGTGAATGAATAGTTTACTTATTATAAAAATATATGAAGGTCATGCGCTTTTGATTTTGTATCTGTATGTAAATATGTAAATAATATGAATCTTCGTTTTGGTAAATGTATATTATTGGGTTGCCCAAAAAGTAATTGCGGATTTTTCATATAGTCGGCGTTGACAAATTTTTTCAACGACTTGTGACTCTGTAATTGCATTCTATCTTCTGTCAGTTATCAGCTGTTACTTTTAGCTTGCTTTAGAAAAAAAATGCGCGAAATTTTGTTTACATTTCTTTGTTTGGCGTCAATTTTAATATGGAGCCCCCAAAGGAGCATTTTCGTCATATTTTACTTTATTATTTCCGTAAAGGAAAAAACGCTAAAAAGTTACGAGATGTGTATAGTGATGATAACTTAAAAGGAAGACAGTGTCGAAATTGGTTTCGCAAATTCCGTTCTGGAGATTTTTCACTTAAAGATGAGACACGTTCAGGTCGGCCAAATGAAGTTGATGATGACCAAATCAAAGCATTAATCGAATTGGATCGTCATGTAACTGAGCGTGAGATAGAAGAGAAGTTAAATATATACCAAAATCAATCGTTCATTATCACTTAGAAAGTCTTGGACTGGTGAAAAAGCTTGATATTTGGGTACCACATGTATTGAAAGAAATTCATTTAACACACCGAATCAACNAAACGGCTAAACGACGTAGTGTATCGGATACAAACCGTTGGGAGTTCAAGAAACAAGATGAAAGTGGTCCACCTGGAGAGGCTTGCTGAGTTTGGAACAGCGAATGTGTCTGATCGGGATCGCTCGTTGGCGTTAACATCAGTTAAGTTGTAAAGTGAACGCGTTGGGAATTACATTTAAGTAGAGTAAATTGTGAAAGTTGATGCAAGTGATTGTAGCTAGTAAAGTGCCTTGTAATTGAATTGTTAATTATTGAGTAAATAAAGGACATTAGATAAATTCTTTGTAACGAAAGAAACTGCAAATTAAGTTGGCGAGTTTTATTTAACAATCCAGAGGTCGTACCCGAAGGATTTAGAAAATCATCGAGTTTGATTTAGTAAAATCGTAACATTATTATGGCAACGTCGCTTTCGCCATAGTTTGCTTTTTATGGCAACATCGCTTTAGCCATGTATTTGTTTGTAATGTGTGTGCTAATTATTTTAGTGTAACTTTAAATGTTAATAATATAAAACTATTGCAAAATTCAGCATTCCCCCTTTTAATGAAAAGATAATCACCAAATAAATCTATTTAGCCAAAAACCCCCTCATTTTTGGACAGTTTTAGCAAAAAACCCTCTCCAGTATATTATATATATTATTTATATAAGGATAATTAAAAGCGCGCCCGAAGGACTCCATCTTACGACGAGGTCTCATTTAAGAAGAAGGGTCCCCATCTAGTCTTTTATATATATCTAAAAACTCGCTTTCTTTTCTGTTATTATGGGACTGATTATACTGAAACACTATAAAACATACCATTTTCCACTGTTCAATTGACGCTTGCCAAGCATCATAGCCGATGTGAGAATCAGGAAAAGTTATAATTTTCAAATGTTGAAGTTTACGTTTACAAGCTAAACCAGCATTAATTTCTTCAGAAAAGCTTTCGTCGGCTTTTCTCTTCAAAACGTGGATTCTTTGTACTACGTTCTCAACCAGTGTACCAACATCTGTTACCGTGGGCAATATGGATTTACCACCAACAATTTTTTCCACATCCTTTGTAATGTTGTGAATTTGATCCATTTCTCGATCGACATTCTTCTGAGAGATTCGAAATTTCTTGTTCAATACTTCGTACGGAACCTTTAGCGTTGCATGCTCCATTGATTTTATTTCAGCCATTTTTATGTTCAAACTTTAGTTAATTATATGCGCACCTTTTCTTTTGTTTTTTTTTCATTGAAATTGTAAACTTATATTTAAACTCGATAATTCAATAGTCGATGTCATTAATCAAAGTAATATCGTATTCATACTGACATCGAAAAGTGGTTTCGCTCTACATTTGATATGAAAACACATGTTTAACTCAGATCAAGTAGAAACCTTATACGGTAGTTAAGAAGGGTGCGCACATTATTGTGGCGAAAATGCGAGGCGAATGTCAGATGAAAGAGAGAAGCCGATAACTAGTACATTCTAGAAACGATAAAACAAGAACCTTCCATAGCGAACAACTCGATGCTTCTACGCTTTCGTCTGCGAGCAACCGACTGCTATATAAGGGCGACACTCAGCTGCAAGTTAAGTTGGTTACATAATGAACTCGTTGGCGTTAACATCAGTGAAGAGTCGTAACGTAAACGCGTTGGGACTACATTTTAGTAGAGTAAATTGTGAAAGTTGATGATAGTGATTGTAGCTAGTAAAGTGCATTGTAATTGAATGGTGAATTACTTAGTAAATAAAGAACATTAGATTAATTCTTTGTAACGAAAGAAGCTGCAAATTAAGTTGGCGAGTTTTATTTAACAATCCAGAGATCGTACCCGAAAGATTCAGAAAATCATCGAGGTTGATATAGCAAAATCGTAACAGTATTTTAACGAATAGCAAAATGGAAGCGCTAGTTAAATTAAAATATTGTTGCGAAAATGCGAGGCGAATGTCAGATGAAAGAGAGAAGCCGATAACTAGCACATTCTAGAAACGATAAAACAAGAACCTTCCATAGCGAACAATTCGATGCTTCTACGCTTTCGTCTGCGCGCAGCCGACTGCTATATAAAAGCAACACTCAGCTGCAAGTCAAGTTAGTTACAAAGTGA